ATGAGAAAGGGAAGTGCACTCATGAGGAGGACATTTTGCAAGGAAAAGGAGAAAATACTCTTGTGAGGAATAGAAGGAAATGCACTGGTGAGAAAGAGAAAATTATGCATTTGCAAGGAAGACATTTTGTTAGGAAGGAAAGAAATGCACTTATGTGGAAGAGAAGGGAGTATATTTGTCAGGAAAATTTGTCATGAAGAGAAGAAATCCTCTGGTAGAGAAGATCAATCATGAGAAAGAGGAGAATATCCACATTGTGAGGAAGTTTCAGAATGAGGAAGAGAATAATTTGTGAGGTAGGTCTTTCACGAGGAAGAGCAGAAAATGCACTTTTGTAGATAATCATGAGGAAGAGAAGGCAAGAAATTTGCTAAGAGGCAAGAGAAAAAAAAAATGCTAGAGGATTGAAGAAAATTTACTCATGAGGATGAGATGTGCTAGTAAAATCATGAGAAAGGATCAAATTTGTTTATGAGGAAGTTTATTGTGAAGAGATGAAAGTATATTCATGTTTATATTGAGGTAGACAGGAGTACAAAATACAAAATACAAGAAATGGCATTTTTTCATAAATGTACCAATGTAAAATTATGGGAGAAAATGAAAGTAGTCTATGTGAGAAAACCTAATTTAGAGAAAATTATGAGTGTAATTAGGGTAATGGAGCCTTCTCCTCATGTGGAATAGGAGGAATAGAAGTATAGATGGAGGTTAACCCATCAGTTGCAAGGGATAGAAGATACTGAATGTAACTGCTACTGAGAGGGGAAGATATGACCAGAATTATGAGGAGGGCAGGGGGTCTGGCTTGTTCCCCCAATGGCCACACTCCCATGATTTTGTTTTTGCTTAAATTTACACCTTTATAGCTGTGGTCGCACCACAATAATGCCCTAAATTTTCTCAGGGGGCCATACAAAAAACAAACAAACAGGGCAGGGAGTTAATTTATAGTTATATAAATTGTGCCAATCATGAGTTGTGAGGAAGATCTGAGGTTGTGTTGGGAGAGTATTGTGGAAATTTTGAATCGAGGAGTGTAAACTGGTTATTGTTTCGTGTTTCAGATTCTTGGAATAAGGAACTTCATGTTTCATTTTGTTGTTGTTGTTATTAAAGAAGAATGTACTATTGATAAAGAATCTAAAATAGGAGGTAAAAAGTACAAACATAGGATTAATAACAAAAGTCGTAATGGAAATGTAGATATAATGAATGATGGGAGAGGGAGAGAGGGGTGAGAAACGAGGGAAATTGTTAAAAGAAATGAAGGAATAAATAGATAAAGATCCAGTTTTTAGGGATTGGGAGACAGATAACGGGGGGTAGGGGGTCAGAAGCAGTGCATAGGAGGAAAACAAAAGCGAAAGAACGACAGAGGGAAAACAGAAGATAGAAAACTGCATATTCAAACGCAGCAGAGGGAAAACCAAAGACGGCGTAGTTAAAGGCATTTACAGGGGGAAACAACGAAAAACACAGAAAACAGCATAGGTTAGGACAGCAGAGGAGAAATAGGGTAAAAAAACAAGACAGCGTAACCAACCACAGCCGAGGGAAAACGGGAAACTTTGTTACAAAACAGAAAACGGAGACCACATGGGGTGGCGGCCTCACCGGCGGGCAGCGTGGTGAAGGGGTTGTCCCACAGCAGGAGCGAACGCAGGGCGGGCAGGGCGGACAGCTGCGGCGGGAGGGCGAGGAGGCGGTTGGAGTGGAGGTCGAGGTGGAGCAGCGACGGGAGGCTGGTGAGGGCGCGCGGGTGGAGGGATTCCACGCGGTTGTTGGCGAGGCTGAGGTGGAGGAGCTGCTCGAGGCCGGACACGCCCTCGGGCACGGCCTCCACGCCGTTGTCGTCCACGGAGAGGTACTGCAGCCGGCGGAAGGCGGCCAGCTGCTCCGCCAGCGGGAACGCCGTCAGGTTGTTGTTGCGCAGGTCCAGCACCCGCAGCGTGGCGTGCGACGAGCGCAGCGCGTGCGGCGACACGCGGGCCAGCGCGTGGTTGTACTTGACGTGCGCGTGCGTGAAGCTCACGTTGCCGAACGAGTCGTCCTCGAGCGCCGGCAGCTCTGAGCTCATGACGACGAGGCGCACCACCGTGTCGCCCGCCGCCGCCGCTGTCGTCGCCCGGCGGGGCGCGGGCGGCGGCGGCGACGCGCGGAAGCCCTGCACGACGGCGCGCGCTCCAGCGCCATGGAGCAGTCCACCACCACGCCCGCGCCCGCGCCGTCCGCCACGCACACGCACGGCGGCCCCGCACGACGAGGACGCCCGTCCGCCGCGCCCGCGGCCCCAGTCGACCACGGCACGCGCCCGCCCCTCCAGGCGCCGCCCACGCCCACCACCTCTGGAGACTCAGCGGGCGGCGTCCGCGGCCACCCACGCCGCCCACGCCACGACCACCACCAGCGCTCGCAGCCTCATCGCCTCCGCCGTCGCCGTCGCGCTGACGCCTCGCCGGGCGGGTCTCGGGCACGGACGGGCCGGGAATGCCAGGGA